TGCTGCTGCTGTTGTCTCCGAAAGGACTTTCTTTGTTGTTAAATATATTTAATTTTATAAAAATAATAAAAATAATTTATTATTTCTTTTTATTAGTTTAATATATCTGCCTATACAGCTGGGTGCTGCACCCGGGGGGCCCCCAGGAGCTGTATAGGGGCCCCCAGGAAGAGAGGGGCCCCCCCCGCCTCCTTTTTTATTATTTATATAAATATTTATAAATAAAATATAAAATAAAAATAATAAATTGTTGAAGCAGCAGCAGCAGCAGCAGATAAACATGCAGCAGCAACAACCACAGGAGCAGCAGCAGCTGCAGCATCGATAGCAGCATCGATAGCAGCAGCAACAGCAGCAGCAGCAGCAGCAGCAGCAACAGCAGCAGCAGCAGCAGCAGCAGCAGAAATATTTGCAGCAACATCAGCAGCAACATCACCTGCTGCATGCACACAGGTACATCTTCATCGGGGGCCCCCCTTTGCCGTTATCTAGGGGCCCCCCCTGCCCCTCTCTCCTACTGTACCCACCTGGGGGCCCCCCGCTGGATTAGGGGGGCCCCCAACCCTTCTGGGGGCCCCCCTCAAGGGGGGCCCCCCCAGGGGGGCCCCCCTCATCTGCTTTCTTCTCCTGCTGGGGGCCCCCCCCACCCCCCCCTCTCATCTCTAGGGGGCCCCCATCCCCTCCCTCGGTGCCCTCCTGGGGGCCCCCCCCCTGGGGGCCCCCCTTCAGGGGGCCCCTATACTGTAGGCCTTCCTGGGGGCCCCCCTCCTGGGGGCCCCTTTGCCTGGGGGCCCCCCCCTGGGGGCCCCTCTCCGGGGGGGCCCCCCCCTGGGGGCCCCTACAGTGTAGGCCCTCCTGGGGGCCCTCCTGGGGGCCCCCCTTGGGGCCCCCCAGGGCCCCCCCCTGTATTCTTTTGGCGGCGGCCAGGGCACCGTCTGCAGGGTGCTGCAGCGAGGGGCCCCACGGGGGCCCCTGGGGGCCCCCAGGGGCCCCCCGGGGGGACCCTATATAATAAGAGAGGAGGAGAGGGGGCCCCCAGGGTTCACTTGGGGGGCCCCCTAGAAGATGTCGATGCAGCTATTGCTTCATTAAAAGCAGAAGGGTACCCAATACCGCAGTCGCTGCTGCGGGGGCCCCCAGGGGGCCCCCCCCTGGGGGCCCCCCATGGGGCCCCCCTCGGGGGGGGCCCCCAAGGGGGGCCCCCTGGGGGCCCCCTGAGGGTACTGAATGTACTGCTTACATCTGTAGTGACGGGGGCCCCCTCTGTACATATTTTGTTTAATTTATTGTGGAGATATAGGCGGTTTATAACACCAGCAAATGCTGCTGCTGCAGTGAATCGATTGCTGCTGCTGTTGCAGCAGCAGCAGCAGCAGCAGCAGCAGCAGCAGCAGCAGCAGCAGCTGCAGCAGGTGCTGGAGAATCCTGTGCTGCAGCAGCTGCTGCAGCAGCTGCTGCGAAAGGGCCTCTACAAACTACGCAGCAGACATCTGGCTGTTGCTGCTGGGGCCCTTGCATCCCTCTGCCGCCAGCAGCAGCAGCAGCAGCAGCTGCTGCAGCAGCAGCAGCAGCAGCAGCAGCAGCAGGTATTCAATGTGCTGCAGCACCCGCATGTTGTTATGGGGGCCCTCATCAGGGCCTCCCTGTACCCTAGGGGGCCCCTCAGCCCGCGTGCATGCAGTGCTGTTGCTTGGTCTCTTACAACCCTCAACCAGCTGCTGCAGCAGCAGCAGCAGCAGCAGCAGCAGCAGCAGCAGCAGCAGTTGCTGCTGCTGCAGCAAGTGCAGATGCAACTGCAGCAGCGAAGCGGAGTGCAGCAACAATACTACCAAATGCAGCAGCAGCAGCAGCAGCAGCAGCAGCAGCAGCAACAGCAGCAGCAACTAGAACAACAGCAGCAACAGCAACAGCTGCAACTACTACATCACCAACTGCAGCAGCAGCAACTGCTGCTGCAGCAGCTACAGCAGCAACATATACATCTGCAGCAGCAGCTCAAAACCCTCCTCGCATCCCTACGTCTTCGTCTATGTCAATTCCTTGGGGGCCCCCATCAGGGGGGCCCCCACCAGGGGGGCCCCCACCAGGGGGGCCCCCCCCAGGGGGGCCCCCCCCAGGGGGGCCCCCACCAGGGGGGCCCCCCGCTAGGTGCCTATACACCTGAAAGCTACAGCGACTGCATGCAGCCCCGCGATATCTGCACGGTATTGTGGGCCTCAGCTAGGGCTGGTGCCT